TCTGCGTGTGTCCGTAGATGTCTGTGAGAGTCTGTGGATGTCTTTCGATGCCTGTGGATGTCTGTGGGTGTCTGTGGATGCCTGTCGGTGTCTGTGGGTGTCCGTGGGTGTCTGTGGATGTCTGTGGATGTCTGTGGATGTCTGCCGATGTCTGCCGATGTCGGTGTATGTCTGCGTATGTCCGTGGATGTCCGTGGATGTCCTTGGATGTCCTTGAATGTCTTTGGATGTCCTTGGATGTCCGTGGATGTCCGTGGATGTCCTTGGATGTCCTTGGATGTCCGTGGATGTCCGTGGATGTCTTTGGATGTCCTTGGATGTCCTTGGATGTCCGTGGATGTCCGTGGATGTCCGTGGATGTCCGCGGATGTCCGTGGATGTCCGTCGGCGTCCTTGCTCTCCTCATAACCGCACTCTTCCTCCACATCCTCATCGCCCTCCTCCGCGCCACCTTTCCCATGCGCATGACCTCCCCCATCGCCGCCACCGATGTGGCCAAGAGGGCAACGGGCGTCGCCAGCAGACGGGCACAGATGACACGGATGAGGGGGGCGAGGGTAGTTATAGTGAAGGGGGCGATGAGGATGATTGTTACGACAATGGGATTGGCGTTAGTAATGATGATGGTGTTGATGATGATGATGCTGATGATGCTGATGATGCTGATGATGTTGATGGTAAGGGTTTGTCGCTGGAACGAAGATGATACCTGTATTCAAGATGACGATACTGACGATGCTGAGGGCGAGGTTCAGGATGGGGACGGTCGCAATGAGGATGAAGGGACTGGCGAGGGCAAGGATGACGAGAGAGAACGGGAGATGAGACGGATGCGGTTAATGAGGGTCATGTGACAAGGGTTGCATTATGAGGGCGATGCCGATGTTGTTGGGCATGATAATCATGAGGGGGATGATCGTGATCATGAGGAGAACGGCAGTAATGATCAGAGTGCTAGGATACGCATTGGACGTGGGGTATGATATACGCGGTGCAAGGGCGAGCATAGTCCCCCTCGGACACAGCGCAACGGCGACGGATGATCCACGGCCCTAGCACCCCCGCAATTGCGGATCACCGTGGGGGGTTGTGGGGTTGTCGGGCGGGCAGCGGTAAGGTCGCGGCAGTCGTGGGTGGGTCGCGGTAAGACGGTTGCAGACCGTTCGGATTTCCTCATTTTTGCTATGGCCGAGCCTCGCTGAATATGATTCCTGGCAATGTCCAGGACTATTGTCGTGGCTGGGCGCTTCGTGCGTGCCCCAGCCAATGCAGCAGCTGCAATATCAGCTGCTCTTGAAATCGCGCTCGCGCCAGCGCAACCCTCCACCGCCCACGCCTTCAGACCAGCAGGCGGCTGATTTACTATGCTGCATAGGCATTAATTGTCGGAACTCCGCATGCAAGTTTCTGCCCCTCGGGAAGATCACGGAATCAGCCACCTGATGGTCGGAAGGCGTTGAAGGTGGAGTGTCAGGTCGAGGAGGGCGAGGGGGGGGGGGAGGGGGGAGGGAGGGGGGATGAATGAGGCAGGAGGAGTGAGGAGGGATGAGGAGGGGGATGAGGAGGAGGCTGAGAAAAAAGTAGAGGTCCCCCGTCAGGTTGGGGACCTCGTGTCAGAGCTTGCCACGGTTGCTAGCTGGGCTCATCATCTATATATGTTCGTACTCCTCGTTGGCCTCCCCATACCTCCTCCACATCATCTCGCTCCATATCCATCCGAGCCTCAGCCAACATCCAAGGCTGCGCTCCAAGCGTGCTCGGGGCCAGCCTGCGACTCGCTGGCCTCACTTGCCGATCCTGCGGCGCTTCGCCTCGCTGCCCTGGGCGTCGTCCTCCGTGAACGGCGTGCCCTCCTCGACCTGGGTGAAGTCCTCCAGCGCCTCGACAAGGGTGCCGTCCTGCACGTCAATCGGCGCCTTCTCCTCCTGGCCGTCAGGCGCGTTCTCCTCCTGGCCGTCAGTCTGCGCCTTCTCCTCCTGGCCGTCAGTCGGCGCCTTCTCCTCCTGGCCGTCGTCGCCGCTCGGCTGCATCTTGCCCTGGCCCTCGCCAATGTGCCCGCCCATCTCGCTGTCGACGTCAATCGGCGTCGTCTCCCCCTTGCCATCAGTCGGCACGTTCATCTCCGTGCAGTCGCCGCCCATCCCGCCGTCCACGTCAATCGGCTTCGTCCCCTCCTGGCCGTCAGTCGGCTCCTTCTTCTCCTTGCCGTCGTCGCCATCGTCGTCGTCGTCGTCGTCGTCGTCGTCGTCGTCGTCGTCGTCGTCGTCATCGTCGTCGTCGTCATCGTCGTCGTCGTCGTCTTCGTCGTCGCCGTCGTCGTCTTCGTCGTCGTCGGTTTCGTCGTCATCGTCGTCTTCGTGGTCGTCGTCATCGTCGCCGTCATCGTCGGCTCCTTGTCATCACCGCCGTCTTCAGAGGAGCCGATGGCCTCGAGGACGCACTCCGCGTCCACGCGGCTGCCCGCCGCGCGGCCCTGGAGGGCGGCGAGCTCCTTCGCGCAGAGCTCCTCCATCCTCTGGTTGGCGAACAGCACCGTCCCCGTCAGCGTGGCCGCGACCTGGACGGCCTGGGTGGAGATCTTCGTCCACACCTGGCCACGGTTGGACTTGATCCAGACCTCCCAGCCGCAGATCTTGGGCCGCGGCGAGACGCCAACCTTCGGGCACAGCATATTATCCCCCGCCGCCCCTGCCCTCAAATCGTCTTCTGGCGTCCCTCACCCTTCCCAAGTTCCCACCTCGCCATCCCTGCCCGCCGCCCTCCTCACCTCGCTATCATCATCATGTCCATCATCATCATCATCATCATCATCATCATCATCATCATCATCATCATCATCACCATCATCATCAGCATCATCAGCATCAGCATCAGCATCAGCAGCAGCATCAGCATCATCATCATCATCATCATCATCAGCATCATCAGCATCATGATCATAATCTCACCGTCCCGCCCATGCCACATAGCCCCCCCACCCCCCATCTGATGGTAGGATGGGGGATGGGGGGGGGGCGGCTACAATATGCGGGGGGTGGGGAAGGTGGCATTTCGAAACAGACGGGCAGCCCTGTAGTACCACTTGGACTTGCAGAGTTTCTTCGCCTCCGCGATCTCTAGCTTCATCTTCTCCCACGCGTCGTGCGCATCCTCGCCGACGGGGGCGGTGCTCCATGCGCCGCTGCTGGGTTCAGCGAGTGCCTTGTGGATAAGAGGGCGAGAACGATACAATGCGGCTGCGAAACATTCGCCTGGCGAAGATCCCAGCCACATGCAGTTGCGAGCGGGGCCAATCGGAGAACACTTGTGTCACCAGGGTTCTCCTCCTCCAGCCCCTCAACCGCCTCCTCCTCCCCCTTCTCATCCTACGTAAATCTCCTCCTAAACCGCTTCCTCCTCATCATACTCAGACTCGCCATCCCTTCCTCAAGATCATCACAACCAGCATCATCATGATCAACAACATCAGCACCATCAGCATCACCATCAACAGCACCCGCATCAGCATCATCGTCAACACCAGCATCATCAATATCGCCAGCTCCCCAGCATATCTATCAGCATCACCATCATCGTCAGCAGCATCAGCACCATCTTCATCGTCGTCGCCGCCAGCATCGTCACCATCAGCATCATAATCACCATCAGCATCAGCATCACCGTAATCAGCATCAGCATCATCAGCATCATCATCATCAGCATCATCATCAGCAGCCTCATCATCGGCGTCATCAGCATCAGCATCATCATCATGATCATGATCCGCACCATCATGTGGCCACGAAGCGCGTGGGGAGGTCTGGTGTCGCCGCCATGCGGACGGCACCACTGGGGCCGTATGTGGAGCCCCGTGTGGGGCCACGACGCGTGTGAGGGGCGCGCCGAAATGGTGCGCCGCCGCCATGCGGACGGCGCCGCTGGGACACTATGTGGAGCCCCCTACGGGGCAACATAACGTGTGTGTGGCGCGCCGAAATGCAGCGGCGCTGCCATGCTGGCGGCGCCACTGAGACCTTAGCTGGGGCTCCCTATGGGGCCGCGAAGCGTGTGACGTGTGTGCCAACATAGTCGCCGATGGTGGTGACGATAACGGCGATGATGATTCCGATGGTGGTGATGGTGACGATGCTGGTGATGATGACGACCATGGTGATGTTGATGATGGTGATGTTGATGCTGATGCTGCTGATGAGGATGGCGATGAGGACGACGACGTTTGATGACGCTGATGATGACTATGATGACGCTGGTGATTACATGGTGATGGTGATGATGCTGATTATGATACTGCTGACGATGGTGATGCGGATGATGATGATGATGATGATGATGATGATGATGATGATGATGATGATGAGGAGGAGGATGAGGAGGATGAGGAGGATGAGGAGGATGAGGAGGATGAGGAGGATGCTGAGGATGATGATGATGATGAGGATGATGATGATGAGGATGATGATGATGATGATGAGGATGATGAGGATGAGGATGATGAGGATGATGATGCTGGTATTGCTGGTGGTGATGGTGATGTTGCAGATGATGGTGATGATGATGGACGGGCAATAGGAGGAATGGAGGGAGGGAGGATGGGAACAAGAGAGGCGAGGCGAGGAGAGGAGGGAAGAGGAGACGAAGGAGACGCGGGGCGCTCTTTCGTCAAAACGAGGACTCAACACCACATGACGGTTGGACACAAGAAGAGGAGGAGAGGTGGATGAGGGGGGATACACAAATGAGGCCGAGGCTGAGCACGATGGGGGGGACGAGCATGAGAACGATAACCATGAAGATGAAACGATGAGGACGAGGAAGACGAGGAGCAAGATGAGGACGAGGACGAGGAAGAGGAATATGAGGAGGATGAGGAGGACGAGGGGAAGGATGAGTAGGGCGGCCTCCGCGGGCTCGCCCTCGCTGCCGTCGGCGGGCGCCGCCTGAGCCTTGCGCTTGGCCCTGCCCCTGCCCTTGCCCCTGCTCTTGCCCTTGGACTTCTCCGCGCCGTCCGCCTTCCTGTCGCCGCCAGCCTTCATGTCGCCGCCAGCCTTCATGCCGCAGTCCTTGTCGCCGCTGGCCTTCTTGGCGCCGCCCTTCTTGCCGCTGGCCTTCTTGTCGCTCGACTGGTTGTCGCCCTCGTCGCCGCTAGCCTTCGCGTCGCCGTCCTTGTCGCCGCTGGCCTTCTTGTCGCTCGACGTGTCGCCGCCCTTGTCGCCGCTAGCCTTCGCGTCGCCGTCCTTGTCGATGCTGGCCTTCTTGTCGCTCGACTTGTCGCCGCCCTTGTCGCCGCTGACCGTCGCGTCGCCGTCTTTGTCGCCGCTGGCCTTCTTGTCGCTCGCCTTGTCGCCGCTGGCCTTCTTGTCGCTCGACGTGTCGCCGCCCTTGTCGCCGCTAGCCTTCGCGTCGGGCGTGTCCTCGGCGTTCTTCTTCTTGCGGACGTGCGGGTCCTTCACGTCGACGTGCTTGATCGGCGCCAGCCACCTGTCTCCGTCCTCCCACACGAACACCGCCATGCCGTTGGGAGTGGGAAGCGACGACCTGGCTGGGCGCCCGTCCTCAGTCCTGGAGGCCCAGCCCTTGTCAATCACGTAGTCGACAGGTGCATCACCATGGCCGTCCATCTTGGTATAGCCCTCGGCGTCGCTGATGGAGGTCCCCTCGTCGTCGGGCTTGTCGTCGGTCAGCGGGGGCGGCACACCGTCGTTGCCAGCAGCAGCGTCTGCAACTTCGGGCAGCAATGCACGCAATTACACGACTTCGGACCTAGCTCCCCAACTCTCGGCCCCTAGACCGCCATCCCACCGCCCCGAGCTCAGC